GTGGTCAAGGGTGACCTCCCCGTGGCTGTCCCCTGACGAAGAGGTAGCCTCGTTGGCGCTGTTTCCCAACGTGACTGGGTGGTTTCCTGACACGGAGGGCGCTTCGTGGACATGGACAACTGGCGTCGCACGACTGGCCTCTGACGACGAGGTGGTCTCCCTGACACTGCAGAGCACATCAAATGGGTCGGAGTCAGCTGGCTCGACTTCGGCGATCGCAGTGGCCGAATCTTGTGTGCGGTGCTGACTCGCACGCACACCTTGAGATGATGCGCGGCGGATGGTCCCTGCTCGCCTTGGGCTTGGAAGCTGTGAGCGGCACACATTTTCGAAGTGGTGTAGTTTACCACATCTGGTACAGGAGTGACCGTAGGCGGGGCAGCTCGCTATACGTGCCTCCCGTTCCTGAGAGTGGCCATGCTTCCCACAATGTCCACAAGGTTGTTGTGGTGGTGGTGGTGGGCCGACTGTGGTGGGGCTTGAGAGGCAGTGCCGCTGCTGTTTCCTGAATGTGCTGACACCAGCTGCTGTAGGAGCGGTTGCTGTGGTGGACACATTTTGCAGGCGTTGGGCAGACAGTTTACCTCCTTCACGGGCCTCGATGAAACGGACAGTTTCCTCGAGTGATGTAGTTTCATCTTTCTCTGAAAGCAGAGACAGCTTGATCTCTGGATCATAGACCCCACGTATGAGTGCATCTCGGACCATGACGTGACTGTAGTCGACGGTCGTCGGGATCTCGCAGTTGCACTGGATGGCGTAGCGGCACGTACCTGCGATGCCCTTCAGGCGGGCACAGAATGTTCGCACGGGCTCGTCACGATCCTGGTGGGCGCTGTGAAGCGCATCACGGGCGACCAGCACGTTTTCAGCCCGGACAGCCAGTTTCTTGATGTTGGCCACCACTGTGGTTTCAGTACAGGTGGACATATCACCATATGTCCGTGCGAGGTCCCTGCGCAGGGTTTCATCACAGCAGTCCAGCAGTTGGTACACAATATCTGGCCCCGTGATCCTTGTGGCGGACTTGTACACAGTCCACCTCTGGATGAAATACCCCCAGTCTTCCTCAGTGCCACCACCAGTGACAATGGGACGCTTGACACGTTCTACTGGGGCAGATGCAGGGGTAGTGCCCATGGTTGCAGGAGCTGCAGGGGTTGGATGAGCCGATCTCTCATGCATTTGTAGGAGGATGGCTAGGAGTGCTTTGTCTGGCTCATCTGAAGCCCAGGTACAGTCCTGGTAGGGACAACTGACAGACATGGTTCCGCAGGCGTGTCTGGTTGGGTGAGCTTCACAGGTCCCAGTCCAGGGGTTTGAGGCGCGTCAGCGACGATGATGTGTTGGTCATAAATAGACCTCAGTCATTTGCTTCGGATTGTATTTGACAGCAATGACCAACACATCTGAAAGTACAAGGAAGGAAGCATCAGGACAGAGGTGTACCTAGCTGGGAGTGATGCAGGCAAGGATAAAACACTTACAAACGATACATGGGTACCACGGTCCTCTAGAGCAAACAACGCAGTTGTTGAGGCGAAGATGGGTCAGGGGCACTTTCAGAAGTCGGTCAGCTTGCCAGGTCGACAAACGATGCCTAGCAAAGAGGCGCACAGTCACAGTCATGTGTAGCATGCACATAAGCTATTGCTAGTCGGCAGCCTCCTCACTGATGCGGTATTGCTAAATCAATGAATATGCACCATCGGAAATGACGTCGCCCGTCGAAGGGTGTTCGACGGTTGGAAAGTAGTAGAACCGCTCATCTGCCATGAACTAGTCGTGGACTGGAAGTGGACAGGTCACGGGACAGGTTATATCTCATTCAACGGACGTTCCAAAAGTTTTGAGATCAGCGGTCAGCCCGTAGTCGTTGGCCGGTCAATCTACGGGTCATTTCACATCCGGCGAACAGGAAATGCATGCCCTGATCGCTGCGAGGGCTTATAAACGGTTTGCCAGCACCGACAGTGGCCCATTATATAAGATGAGACCTGCGCTTTAACTATATTTAGGTACGCTTGGTACTGCACATAATATGACGGACTTTTAACAGCCGGCTCGCTATATTTAGCCCTGCAGGCGATGACGCCTCGGTCTGCCCGTTTCGTCTCGGTCGGCCCTAGTCCGCAAACATGATACCACAACCGTCAACGTGAGAATGCCGAATTCGCGACGCATGCACATTGACCGAACGACACTTGTGACGGCCCAGCCAGGGTCCAGTGCGTTTGCCCCGTCACAAAGTCCGTTTTCGGCCGTGTCCGTATATATGCAGCTGCGAGCCACGCGACCACAGGCCGAGATGGTGTTTCCTGGATATCGTGGCTGAACTTTGGCTCAGGGTACGGGCAATAATATGCATTATCGGGCCATGAAGTGATGGGCATAGATATGTAGGGTATGTCGATCAATCACGCAATCATATAAGCGGAAGTTAAAATAAAAGATAACGTTTACCCGTCCTAGACCCCCTTGATTAACGATAAAAAGATGAATAAAAGAGATGAACGATAAGTTTTTATGCCTATGAGACAGACCGACGAGCCATTTACCGCATCCGTTGCCGTCCTAAAATGTCTTGTGCACGTTTCTTTTTCATTGAATACTACGGACGATCACTGGGAATCTAAGGAGCTTATACGGGCATTATAAAAATAACCAGAGAAAACAATAACGAATGAGAGGAGCAGGCATGCCGAAGAATCTCAGTTAGGTACCCCTATTAAAAATAATAAACCATATAAATAAATTATTTGTCGCTGTAGCCTGGCGGCGTGGTTTCGGGGCGGTGCATTCACCCGCTCTAAATCACCGACCCACCCGGCCGGGAAACGAGAAGACTCGTGCTCGGCTGCCCTGCTCCTCACACGGAGTGAGGAGGCACCAACCGGAACCGACGAGCCTCGGCGGCGCGCTGGATCGGAACCGGACCAGCCGGACCAGGCACACGGAATGTGGCCGTCCGAGCGGCGACCTGTCGACCGGGCCGGTGTCACCCCGCCCCACACTCGGCGGGCGACACTCACGAGACGCAGGCACACGACAATATAACACACGAAGGCTGTAAATAGAACTCGGTAACGGCTTATTCTGATCGAGCGGCCGGAACAGAGCAAGATTTACGACAGGCGAATAGCAGGTAGCCGGTGCCTCGACTCGGCCAGAGCCAGAGGCACGTACGCAACATGCAAAACAGACGTCGGTGGCTGGAATTTAAATGGGCGTTCGCCGTCTGGCCAAGCGGGTCAAGGTAGCCTGAAATACAGCCACTCACGGTGTGCTGGTATACGAGACTCGGTACCTGCGTTCGTGTCCGGATGCTGAATCGGCCCGCCTCCCGTCCTCGCTCGGATGCGACCAGCCCACCGGGAGCGCCACGCGTCGACACTCCACCCGGCACGTGCGGCCGACCGACTGTGCCACTGCGGCCACCGCCGGGCGCCGCCGATAGACCCCCGGCGCAGGCCTAGTAGTGGATGACGTCACACGACGCACCGATCTGTGACGTCATCGCCAGACACAGCGACCAATCACAGCTGAGTGCGACGTGCCCGTATGAATCTTGCCCGTATGCTCGATTCAAGTTTCTGCAATGTTTTGATGCCGAGGTCGCGTCCTGTGCCCCGGGGCGAACCGGTACGTCCGCGGTCGGCGCAGCCTGCGGAGTGCAGGTGGCGATGGCCCAACTCTGCGCTCCTCAGATCCGCGCAGGAATGTTGCTGGTGGCGAGGTCGGTCTGGTCGCGGCAGGTCCGGATATGCACGGGCGAAACCGGCGCTGCTTTCACCTGAGGCGAACCGGAACTCTGCCGGTCCGTCCGCCTGGAGGAGGCGTCATCTTTGCAGCGGCGGCAAGATAACGCTAGAAGTAAGAAGATTTTGTTTTGGAATGCATCGGCTCGGGCTCGAAAGCCGATGCATAAGTGCCGCATACGGCATAAGATAAGCGTTTATTATCATAAACGCTCCATAATTCGAATGGTCCACCATAAATGATGCTATCAGACCTGACTTTGTTTTTGAGAAAAGTACGCTTATGCCTACGAATATTGAGCGGTAAAGTTATAACCGATCGGTAAAACGGAGACGTTATATGGACGACTACCAAGCGGTAAAAGAGAGCTGTAACGACCGACTAACGAGCGGTAAGAGAGAGACGTATCACCGACTATTGAGCGGTACAAGATGTTCTGACCGACAACCGAGAAGAGACGTGGTTATGACTTTGACCGTCTCCCGAAAGGTAAACGGAAACGTTATGAACCGACTAACGAGCAAGATAGACGCTATGGTCGACTATGGAACGGAAAAAGGGAGGTGTTATAACCTTCTACAGAGCGGTATGAGAGAGGCATTATTAAGCGGCATTATTATTGAGAGAGGCATTATCAAGCGGTAAAAGGAGATGTCCTGACCGACTATCGAGCGGTAAAAGGGAGACGTTATAAGCGACCGTTGATTGAGATGGGAATACGGCGGACATTGAACGACACGATGGACAGCAAAATAAACCAATACAATTCGTGAAGAAATCACCCCTAGTTAAACTTAATTTAACCGATTAATGATATGATAATGCTACTCATCAAACAGAACAACTCACATACCAGGAGCAATAAAATAGATCGTTATCCGTAAACCACGAGAGAAAGAACTTCGGGAGCAATTTTCGTAAAATTGTAAAGCAAAGCGACAATCTTCCACAACGGCCAAGTAAGTTCGGGCGAATGAATCAATATTCTTTTGAAGCATTTGGGTGAAAAGTGCCACTTGCAAGACAATCGCCAAATAAACACCAGTTACATAACTTTAATGATGTAAAAAAAACTAAGATGTTATGACTTATGAGTGCCTCCTATGTAAACACTAGAAAACTACAGTATCATCGAATGCTCACAAGGCTCATGCTTGCTCTGGACGAATTAGTGTTCTTATTGCACTTTGGCAAACTGGCCCGGGTCCCCTACTATCTCCCCTCCTCCAAGTCGTACGTACTGTGCACTCGAGGTGGCCGCCGGAGCTGCTGCAGCTCTCCCTCTCTCAGGTGGCGCAGCTCCTCCTCCCTGAGGTGCCTCCGCTCCTCCTCCCTGAGATGTCTCCGCTCCTCCTCTCTAAGATGTCTCAGCTCCTCCTCTCGCAGCTGACCCGCCACATCGGTAGCCTCGTCTTCATCGCGCTCCTCTCCACCTCGCTGGTCACGGGCCGGTCCCAGGGTCCACATGGCGTCAGCTGCTGAGCTGCACAGCAGCCGCAGAGCCCACATCCAGCCGCGGCCGACGGCGGCGCTCGGCACACTGACTGGGCCGCTACGGCGCCGTCCCGAGCGGCGGACAGGTAGGCCCGGCTCCAACACCGGCGCGAGCCCCCCGGAATCTCAGCTGGATCCCACCGCACCGGGGGAGAGCTGGAAGGATGGGAGGGGAGGGGTGATCCGACTCGTCGGCTGGCGGCGGAGGATTAGCGAGAGCACGGCGATAGGCGCGGCGAGAGGCGCTGAGCCTGACCGGAGACAGAGCGGGGAGGTGAGAGACTGGCACCCACCTGTAGTGGCGGCGGACTGGCACCTCCAGAGTCCAGACGGGTCCTCGGGTCCAGTCGGTCTGGCTGGGTCGGGTAGACACGAGCCCTCCACGGAGCACACACCGTGACCGGGCGGGACGGGGCCGCCGGACCGACTGAGCGCCCGCCTCCCTCCGCCACACACGCACACACAGACGGCGGGTGACACGGTACCGGCGGCTGTTTACGTCCCGCCGATGACGTGCGCCGCTGGCAGGCGGCAGCGCCGCAGGAGCCAGCCAATGTCAAGGTCAGATGACGGCTGTCAGCGGGAGAAAAGACGTGAGGGGGATTAGTGGACGTCCGTCAGTCACGTCTGCAGAGCGATACGACCGTGAGCAGCCCACCCCGGCAATCACGGTGACTCGTATTGTATCACGGCCGGGAGTGGTGTCATCACGTGCACATCACGAACTGATCACGGTCGGGGCATTCTCCTGACTCGAGCAACATGGCATAAGCACGGCTTGGTAACCGGGTGGCCACGCGACCTAAACAGCATGGGGAGTGGAGCACAGCCCTGGAAACCACGGGATCTGCAACGCCTCACACCACCGGACAGACCACGGGATGACGAGCGAGAACCGTTTTTAGATCTGTCGTTCTGACGTAATCGTCGTGTGATACGCTGCCCAACCACATAGATAGACACGGATATTTATATGCACCGTGACTAGAGGCTAGAGATGAAGAACAGCAATGTCGACAGCACTTAAACAATTATATCAGTCAGGATAGTCATTGCTATTGACATTCTCGATAAATGTCATAGACAGACGCTGTTACTCGCACTGGTCGAAAATTCGTCACTTCATAGTTATCACCCAGCCTACGGTGTAGCGTAAGTAGTCGGCTGAGAAGTGCTTCAAGAATTCCAGCCCGGAAAGCTGTCAGAGGAAGTAAACAGAACTTAGCACACTGAAGTATGTATTGCACGGCTGTAAAAATAACAACCAAACATACATTTACGAACACCAAGGCTAGTATGATACAGTCAGATACTCTGATCAGAGCACGGTCTGATCGGCACAGACGGTGCTGATCAGAGTAAGATTCGACTTTTACGCCAACCAATTCATCGGTATTTCCGGTGGCATATTACGCCTAGTCGACAAAGCAATACAAAAAAAAGAAAAAGAAAATCAAACTATACCTACCAGCCAATATTCATTACAAGAAAAACAGGTTACCGAATATAAGACAAAAAAGAGCAAGCGTAGCTGAAAATCAGGCGGGAAAACTACAATGACTAAGGTGTGTAGCGTTGAGTTGCGATCGCCGGTCACAAGAGCCCCTCGGCAATATATCACAGAACAACGGCGGACAGTCCCGTAGTGAGCACCTATCCGCTAGTGACTAAACCCTACGATGGTGAGATCCGGTCCCGACGACCCAACAGGGTCTTACACGAGGCACAGGTCAGTCAAGTAGGGAAGACTGGCACCACACGCATTGGATTGCAAGTTTCACAGTCGGGGCGGGACGACCTGGCCCTCACAAAAGGGCCCATCACAGTCATAGACCGGGTAGAGCGATCTTTCATAGGGCGGGGTGACAACTCACGTACTGAAAGCTCTTAGCCACAATTCACATCCATCGGAGAAATTGTGGCGGTAGAGAAGATAGCAACAATAGACGGGCGCGCAAACATACACGAACACACGCGTCAAAATGCAAATGCATACGTACACTAATGCAGGTACTGACACTCAGCTACAGATACTCAGATACAGAACGCTGCACGTCCAAAACTGTGGCCTGTCACGTCACATACAATTCTAGAATGTATCAACAGCCAAATGCGCCGGTTTCGGAACACAGCACCAATATCAAAGGGCACATTATGTCGGAGCTGAGTCGTCGTCTTCTGTGGTCGCCCCAGCGACAGCTGGGGACTGGCAAACGTCTCCCAACTGGGTGCTGTCACCGTCAGCATCATCACGGCACTGGGACACCGACTCCGCCACCGGCGAGTCCGCATTGGCCGAGCTGGCACGTAAATCGCGCGGCAGAGACACAGTACCATCGGTGTCGTCCTCTCGGGACTCACGAACGGGGGACTCGGGATCATCGGTGTCGTCTTTTCGTGAATCACGAGCGTGTGATTCGGAAACAACAAAGCCTTTTCGTGATTTACGAACTGGAGACTCAGGATCAACAGTGTTGTCTTTCCGTGATTCACGGGTGAGATATTTCAGATCATCCGTGTCGTTGTTCCGTGCCAAACGAGCGTGGCACTCAGAATCAACAGAGTCTTTCCGTGATTCTTGAATGGGGGACTCGGTGTCAACCGTGTCATTTTTACGTGATTCACGAGGGGTGGGCTCAGAATCAACTGTGTCGTTTTTTCGTGACAAACGAGTGTTGGACCCGGAATCAACAGAATCTTTTCGTGATTCATGAATGGGGGACTCGGGGTAATCGTCATCATCCTTCCGTGAATCACGGATGGGTGACTTTTGATCATCCGTGTCACTTCGTAGTGACCTCACGTCATCACTGAACGCTCTAACCTCGCGCGATTGTGACCTACTCTCGGTGTCGCCAGCCCTGGACTCTCCGCGCGATTGGGACCTGCCTTCGGCGTCGCTACCTCGCGACTCTCGGGACCTGCCTTCGGCATCGCTACCCCGCGACTCTCGGGACCTGCCTTCGGCGTCGCAGCCTCGCGACTCTCGTGACCTGCCTTCGGCGTCGCTGCCTCGCGACTCTCCGCGCGACTGGGATCGGGGGTCGGCCGAGTCTCCGGCCTGCTGCTCCTCAAGACGCTTGGTCTGGATGCGGATGTTCTTGGCGATCACACGGTTCTGGTGGTCCAACTGCGGGAACAAGTCTGAAAACAAGGACAGAACACGATCGGAATATGTTGTTGCACAAGCAGAACGCTTTAGGTTATCACTGCCACGATGTGTTACATTCATGAAAAAAAGACTGAGCATATGCAGACGAGATCACTGAAACCAGTGTATTTACATGAGCTACACAAATTATGGGTTCCAACATTATCGATTTTCTTGATCTCTGGAAAATACCAAATGATTCCCAATCCCTGGCCCATGAGCCGACCAGCTATCCTGTGCTATACTGCTTGTGCCCCAAACTCCTCAAGCGGCGTGTTTTCATCGACCTATCCGTGCCGTATCTGTCCGTGGCGGATTGTTGACGGTCACGTCTGCCGCGCCCCGGCCCCGCCCCGCCGGACGATAACGCCTCTGTCCCGTCCGGCCGTACGGGACGGCCACACACTGTGTCACGCCGGAGCCCGCCGGGGGAAGCGCACGGCGGGAAGCTATCCGTGTCAGAAGCATAGTTCGGCACGGTCATAACTCATAGTCCGGCTCAGATGTGGGTTTTGATTGAGCTAATGTCCCGCCGTTACGCCCTCAGAAGAAAACTGGACCCAAAGCGCTGTTGAAGGAAAGCCACGCTTCAGGCCACACCTTTGAAGACTTTCGTCCTTTGCACCTCCCTTTGTCCCGTGGCGTCATAACTTCCCAGCAGATCGGGGCGGGGCAGTAGAGGAGTACGAAATCCGCACTCCGCACTCTGCAAATACCGCGGCTGACAACACGGGCGGCTCGTGCCCACCACATCCACTGCAGATACCCGACCGACCGCCGCCCGACAGCGAAAATTATGAAACATTTTACCACTGAGGGCCAGCTGATGCTCGGTTAAAAAAACAACAGATTACGTTACGTGGTATCGGGCTTACGTCTGGCTCCGCAAAAGCACGATTGTACTGACGAATCAGCCTGCAAAGCTTTATGCCGAGCTGAGCTCCATGGATTTTTACCCGACTAGCGAGTAGTGCACCGCTCTTCTGTTCCGGTGTGCTCCTGATTTGAAACTGGGCTTTCATTTCCGCATTAACTTTTATGCCTTTTTTATTCTGTCATTACACAATACTCAGACTAATAACAGCGTCTCACTGCCAGGTCATGCAGTGAATACTGCATACCTCGGCGCAGACTGCACAAATGACCTGCCACCGAGAGGAAAATGGGATCCCTAGATCGCATAGGCAGATGGAGACATTTGATGCAATTGCACAATCACATCCTAATGAACATCGTGTTTTGACATGGAGCGTTAATTTAGAGATCAACAGTACTGACAAAGTCGCCCTGGTTTTGGGACTCAACACGTAATCGTGTCACCGGCGGTAAACAACTCTTATTACATCCATATCGGATTACGCAAAACGACGAAGTGTCGCTAATTTAAGTGTCCTAGTTATATTAAGGACCCACACATGATCGTGCCGTACGCAATACGATACAGCGACGTTACATCTGATTACGAACTATGTTTGAATAGCTAATAGGTACACAAAAGGTCGATAGATTTACATGTGTTACTATCGCCGTACCTATCCGCCGAAGAATATCGCCCGAATCTGTGTTAGAGCATCAGAGGCCCCGCTGATAGCGACAACGGACGCAGCAAACATTGTGGTGCGCCCCATCGTATGGAATCGCACCGCCCGAAACTGTGACATAAAAATTATGAAATGACTCGCGGACGCCCTGACAACTGCATATCTCTCCACGATACAAGTCAGAATCCAGACGATAAACAGTTCATGTCAAATACTAGGAAATCTGGAGGAAAGCAGAAAAAAACTAATGGCGAGACCCAATTAAATTGTACAAAAACTGGCAGTGGTGATCCTAAAAAGCATTGTTGTTTATGCATCTAGCTGCAAAAACTCCAGTCAGCTGCAGACGAG